GGAAATATTTGGAGAAACGATCAAAGTGTATCAATGAAATTTGCGATAAATATTGCTTCTTTCTTTTCCAAATCTTTAACAATTAGATGTCGTACGATTGACTTATAAAAATAATCGAATAATACAATTCTCCAAGATTTACGTAAAGATTTCTTATAAATATATATATATATATATAAGAAGCAAATAAGAAACTCTTTCGATCTGCAATAATAATAATAATAATAATAAAAGCCTGGCAAACTTTGAATTCCACTTTTTACCGTATCAAGCACTTAACAACCTTCGGAGACTTGAGGGTTGCCAATAAATAGAAACATTAATTCCTCGTGGAGGAAATTGACGATGTCGAACACGACCTCGAAACCAGTCCAAAGACGAGGATCGCCCAAACTCATGCGTCACGGGGAATCCTTGCCCGACGTTGTTCTCAAATTGTGCCTACATGCGTCGTGTAGTCAAGGAATTGGCCGACGCCAGGCCGGATATCCCCAATTCCGCCTCTGTTTGTCGACGCGTGGACGTCATTATTAATGGCACGTAACCGATATCAATTCCCTTGAAATCGGTTTCGATCACGACTCGCAAGCAAGAGTAATTCACCCTCGATTGACCGCGTGCAGTGTTCACCATTTGGGAATTGTTATGTATCGTCGTTTCACGATTCGTTAATAATAATAATAATAATAAAAAAAGGATAGATCGATATTTTACGGGGGATACATCAAGGGAATCGTCGTGGATTGCGTTTTTCTGGTGGTATGGAATTTTTGTTTTTTTGATCGATGAGAAGATATACGATTGATGCGGGGATCGATGAAAGGAGGATACGGAGGATAGTCGATGATGGATGCACTTTTGCTCAGTTGATGAGAAAACATTGATCGATACATCGCAGGAATTGTCAATGATGATACGCCAAGGGATGGAAGTTTCGCTTTTGTTAACGAAAAGATAGATCGAAAAGAAATGGATGGATACAGGAAATGATCCATAACGGAATTTTTGCCTTGGTTATTTCGAGACAATAAAACGGAAGATTCTGCGTTTTTTACTTTTCCTTTCTCCACGGTCGAGGTTTCGAATCGATGGCGAAACGCTATTGGCAGAACCATTGCATCGTGTCGTTATTTCATCACCGTTTGAAATTGCGTATAATGCGAAAAGAAGAATTTTCGAGATCGACGTAATCTTTTTCGAATTAACCTTCGTATCAAGATGGCCGCCAACGTCGGACAGAGAAGGTTCGATCGACTAGAGGAAGGTACTACAAATGTACGTACAATCGTCCCAATTACTATCTTTCTAAACGTGTGATGGAAATTTCCATCAATTTTGCCTCGAACGTGATAAGAACGTGATAATCTTTAATCGTTATAAACTATCAAAGAAATTCGTAATAAAGATGAGAGAGAGAGAGACGCAAGATTATCGATCTCGGCAAGTTTGCATTCAACCAGCGTTTAATATCTAATTTTTTTCATGGAAATACATTACCTCGCTATTATGTCCGCTCGCATTTAACCTGAAATACGCATCGACTTTTCCCAACGTTGTAACACCGTATTGCCCATAAAAGAAAATTCCGTATTACGCGCGATGCGTGCACATCGAGAGAAGAGATATTAAACCTGAATTCAAAACCGGCGAGAAATCCAAGAAGAGATTTCAAATCGTTTAAACGTTTTCTTTTAATTCGCTTCTAAAATCTTTCTTACAAGAAAAAAAGAAAAAAAGAAGAAAGGAAAAGTCGCTATGGTCTGGAAACTGCCGTCTTCGTTTCGAAAACTTCTCCTCTCCCGCGAAATTTTCATTCGGCGGAGGGAGAAAAAGTTACGAAAAGAAACTCCTCGAAATCTCCCTCTTCGGCATTGAATATTCACTCCCGCGTTTAACAGTTTTTCGAGCAAACGTCTTAACGACAATTCGATCCCGTGGAATCATTTTTCCCTTCCCCCTTCCCTCCTCGGAAAACCCAGAGAATTCCAGTCCTTTTCTCGCCATATCTTTTCGCGAGCTTCGATTCGCGTTGTTAAAAATATTCGCAGAGGAGAGAAAGAAAGGAGAACTATTCGCAGAGGAGAGAAAAAAAGGAAGAACTCAGCGAGCAGACTCGTATCTATAGGAGGGTAGAGGGGAAGGATGAATTGAAGGGAGTACGAGGAGAAAGTGAAAACGCACGGTGTCGACAAAAGCTGGCCTCCTCCCACTACCGGCTGCGAACAGAGGCTGCACTAGGCCGAAATTTCGAGTTTCCATTTAACATGCGGGAAAGCATGCGAGGACACAAAGGCAGGAAAGGGGCGAGCGAAAAGTGGGAACGAAAGAAGTGGAGTGCGGACTTCCGCTGCTACTTTCGAGTTTCGCCTCGAAACAAGTGTAACGAGTTTCCGTGTATAACGACTCGAATCCTACCCTCCTTTTCACTTCTTTCTGTATAATCCTATATAATTTTGAATTAGTTTGAATTTGAGTGATACATCGAACGTTCTCGTTAGATGAAGAAATGACACGATTGCCGAGGGATTCGAGTTGTCGAAGCGGATCGATCGAACTTTTGACGCGTACAAACCGGATCCTTTCGCTGTTCATTCTTTCGCGATGTGAAATTCGTTCGAAAGTGTTCTCCTTTCGTGCCACAAGAACGCCATCATTCCAGCGCGAAAAGGCAAAGTGGGAAAGGGGGAATTGTGACGTTAAACAATGGGAAGCACGTACGGCAACGATCGATGAGAGAAGCACCGTTCTATAAATCATCGACAGGCCTACCTTCCACGGTTCGCGAGTTTACTTTGGGAAACGGTATGAATAATTTGGAACAGAATCGAGCGATAAAAACCGAGTTTTTATTATCGATCTCCGCAGTAAAGCGAGGCTCGAGGTGTTTCTTTCTCTGTAAATTGGTCGGCAGCGTGTCAGGGTGGCCGCATCACCCTTGATTGCATTAAATTCTAATTCCTTTTACGGTCGCGTAGCACAGCGAGAGAGAATGAGAAAAAGAGGAGAAAGAGAGAGGAAGAGTATAGCGCAAGAACGTGTACAATGGAAACCATAATATCGATTTTCAATGTATCTAGCCACGAGTTTTTTATTGATCGAAAACTCGAATTAGTAGTTTTATTTCTCGAATATTCGGATAATATACCGTTAATGAAAAAAATATTTTTATCCCCTGTGAGAATTTAAATATCGAAAAGTATCAGTACAGTTATCTAAAAGACGAGAAAAGTTTATTATCTACCGTTATCGTTAGCTCGAAGGGGCAACAACTTCTCGAAGCAAGAATCCATTATCCACCACGAAAATCCATCCGTTCTAGCCAGCGACGAACTCGATGGGGGAACTCGAGGGGGGAGGAGGGGAAAGATAAGGAGAAATCGAATGGAAGATCGAGGGCGAGAAAATTTTTGAAGAGGCGGTCGAGGACGCGGTCGGTAACGATTGTACAACGATTGAATATCGCGAAAGGGATTGAAAATAATGAGGGATAAACGCGGTGGGTGGGAAGGGAGGAGAAGAAGAAACGGGTGGATGTCGAGGACGATCCGGCGGGAGGTCAGCGAAAGGCTGACGGAAGGGCGGATTGGGTTGTACCAGGTTGGCCGTACTATAAATATTTCATGTTAATCGATATACGTGCACACGGAAGTGTGTCATGCACGTTGTCCTGTGACTCGACACAATGCTCCACATACGGGCTGCGATCGTTCGACGAACGACCTCGACGAGTGGGAAAACGGAGGAAGTCGAACAACGTTCGCATGCCACTTTCTTCTTCCTTCTTTCCCCTTCATTCTGTTGCTCGATCCTGAAATATTCGAATTAAAATCGATCTGTAAATCGAAAATTTCTTGCAGCGTTAAAATTTCATAAAATGAAAGTGGAAGTTATATAAGCTTGTTTTAATTAAAATAAATAATATTTGATGGTCGGATAAAGAGGAGAAGAAATTTCGAATCTTGATCAATAAATTGGATTGCTTTCATACTTGAATTGGAAATATTGTGATGTAAGAATCGATTTGCAAAAATATGTTGTAAAACTTGGTCAGTTTAAGATACATCTATAAAATTTACAAGAGAAGAGAGTATAAAAGAGAAGAGCGTTAGAATTTAATTTAATTATTATATATATTCAAAAATGGCTGACACTCTTCTCGCGTCCAATTATTCGCGTCGAGCTAACGAAATTTTCGAATTAAAATTTCAATCTTCTAATTAAAAAACTTCGAATTAAATCGCTTTCTCGGATATCAAGTTCGATTATCCAAAGCTGGCCGATCCTTTCATCGCGTTCCTTCTCTTCTCTCGTGAATTTTCGCTCTCTCGATACAAACACACGAATACTTTAATACACGGCTCGTCTCGAAAACGCGGAGGAGGAATCCGGTTTCCGGATCTATTTCGGTGAAGTCGCCCCTTCGATCGCTTTTCGAACGTTCGGCAACCAAACGAACCTTTGCCATTTTCGAACGTTGAATGGCGCAGAACGGTGATAGCTATATTCGGCCCCAAGTTTCAGCCCGAGATTTCTGGCTGATCTTTTTATAGAGCGACGAATCCGTGATTTATGCTCCCTCGTGTCATCGAGGTATATTTAAAAAGGGACGAAAAATATTTCACCGGGGGAGAAGAGTTCGCATGCACTTACGGAACTTATTTCGTCCTCTTTCGTGCCCCGTTTTGTTCCCGAATAATTGATCATTTTTATGACTCGACAAACCATATCGCTCGTATCATTCTCATCTATAAATTATTTACCGTTTCTTCCATTTTTCCGTTCCAATGTAAATGTCTCGTTTGAAGAATATTTTATTAAATAGTATAAATTTTCCTCTTGAACTTTTAAAAAGAGCAAAAAAAAAATAAGTATACATTTCTCCGCTCTTTCAATCACGATGATCTATCGAATCTTACTACTTGAACATTTTCTTACAATATGTTCACGTATAAAGTGTGTATGCAAGAATTAATAACACGTTTAAATTAATTTCTGTTCAGAGTTAATGGCGAACAAGAGCGGTCACATGGTGGGCGAGTTCGAGAAGTTGGGCCAGTTTTACAACGGATGCTTGAAATTCAGGGAGAAACCGGTGAATTTTACACCCGGTAAGTCCGATATTTAAACTCGATCCACCGTTTCGCGGTGAACGGATGCAGCGGTATCGTGACGGACAAATGCGGTGTCGTTGCCGGAAATAACGGCGAGACGCTAACGACGCCGTTTCCGCACACGATGCGTCACATTCGCGCGGCTTCTCTCTCTCTCTCTCTCTCTCTCTCTCTCTCTCTCTCTCTCTCGAGTCTTGAGCTTCGCACGCGATCAAAATTAAACGACCGCGCATCTCCGCAACTCGTTGAAATCCTGTTTACGATCCCTCCACCTCCCCTTCGTGCTCTTTCGTGATTTTCCTTCCAAGCAAGGGACTCGGCCTCGATCGAAATCACGATCGTAATTCGAACGATATTCTCTACGCGATGGATCGCAATTTCTTTTCAAGCTTGCGACTCGTAGGGATTTAACAAGGGAGAAGAACGGTATTATTGGCGAAAGATTTATTTTATGCCTTGCTCGATACATATTTGTTCGGATATTCTATCGGAGTATCGAGGGGAAGGTAAGGGAAGGAAATTCTCGTGATATTCGAGATACAGTCTCTCTCCCTCCCCTGCGATTGGATTTGGAAATTTAAGGAGAGAACGCAATGGAGATTCGCTCCATTCCATTCCAACTCCCGTTGATCTCGTACGTGTAAATACGAGTTACGATAAATTTTAAAAATCAATAATATCTGATAGCTATCGAATTATCTTATCGAAATGACGATTTTCTTCAATTTCCTCTCTCAAAGATAAGAAGGAGAAGATCGTGCATTTCAATTCTGGATTATTTTCAAATAGCAATTTCAAAAATACGAGTTATAATAAATTTTAAAAGAACAAAAATCAATAATATCGCTACCCAATCATCTTATAGAAACGATTGTCTACATCCGTGTGTCTCCAATTTCCCCTTTCAAAGGGGAAATCTTGCATAAAAATTTCTGGATTATTTTCAAATAGCAATTTGAAAATACGAGTTATGATAAATTTTAAAAGAACAAAAATCAATAATATTTGATCGCTATCCAATCATCTTATCGAAACGACGATTGTCTACATCCGTGTGTCTCCAATTTCCCCTCTCAAAGGGGAAGATCGTACGTAGCAATTTCTGGATTATTTTCAAATAGAAATTTGAAAATACGAGTTATGATAAATTTTAAAAGAACATCTTATCGAAACAATTATTTTCCGTCTACATCTATGTGTCTCCAATTTCCCCTCTCAAAGGGGAAGATCGTGCATAAAAATTTCTGGATTATTTTCAAATAGTAATTTGAAAATACGAGTTATAATAAATTTTAAAAGAACAAAAATCAATAATATCTGATAGCTATCGAATTGACGATTTTCTCCAATTTCCTCTCTCAAAGATAAGAAGGAGAAGATCGTGCATTTCAATTCTGGATTATTTTCAAATAGCAACTTCAAAAATACGAGTTATAATAAATTTTAAAAGAACAAAAATCAATAATATCGCTACCCAATCATCTTATAGAAACGATTGTCTACATCCGTGTGTCTCCAATTTCCCCTTTCAAAGGGGAAATCTTGCATAAAAATTTCTGGATTATTTTCAAATAGCAATTTGAAAATACGAGTTATGATAAATTTTAAAAGAACAAAAATCAATAATATTTGATCGCTATCCAATCATCTTATCGAAACGACGATTGTCTACATCCGTGTGTCTCCAATTTCCCCTCTCAAAGGGGAAGATCGTACGTAACAATTTCTGGATTATTTTCAAATAGCAATTTGAAAATACGAGTTATGATAAATTTTAAAAGAACATCTTATCGAAACAACGATTATCCGTCTACATCTATGTGTCTTCAATTTCCCCTTTCAAAGGGGAAGATCGTGTATTTCAATTCTGGATTATTTTCAAGTAGCAATTTGAAAATACGAGTTATGATAAATTTTAAAAGAACAAAAATCAATAATATCTGATCGCTATCCAATCATCTTATCGAAACGACGATTGTCTACATCCGTGTGTCTCCAATTTCCCCTCTCAAAGGGGAAGATCGTACGTAACAATTTCTGGATTATTTTCAAATAGCAATTTGAAAATACGAGTTATGATAAATTTTAAAAGAACATCTTATCGAAACAACGATTATCCGTCTACATCTATGTGTCTCCAATTTCCCCTCTCAAAGGGGAAGATCGTGCATAAAAATTTCTGGATTATTTTCAAATAGCAATTTGAAAATAAACGTAGAAATATACGTCGATCGACATATACTGTGACGACACGAGAGTGAATATAATTTTTAATCCTATCCCGTCCCACACTCTCTCATCCACAATTCGTTTCACGTTATATATTTAGAAGAAGAGAAACAAGAATTATCCGGCTAGAAATATCCAAGTTGACGAAATATTTATTCAGCCCGAGGAACGTAGGCGAACATGGAACGTGAAATAAAAATATCACGGGAGGCGTTCGTAAATACGATATAAACGGCGTTGCATCGGCGAATGCGGACACGCGATGTTTGCAGGTTTGGGACGTGCATCCTCTCGACTCCTCATCGAAAATTGTTGGTTTTTATCGGCCACGCGAGTATGAATAATCGATCGAGCGAGCTGAATCTCGGCAGCTGAATCCGCAGAGGAGGAGGAGGAGGAGGAGGAGGAGGGAAAAAGGGGGCAAAGAACATCTGCGCAGCCGATTGAATATATGAATGAATCCGTTGCCGCGATACGAAACGCAACACGTGCAACATTGCGGACAAACGTTTCGTGCGGGATTCTTTTATTACGGTACATTGGACGATATATTTGGATAAACTTGCCGCCGATTTATGGAACGTTCCAGGGAAAATTTCTTTCAAACTATGTACTTTCGTTTCTTCATTTGCGAAAATATAGAATATAGATTGTTTCGATCTCATTGTTGAAAGAATATATGTGTTCGTATATGTCTACAAATGTAGATTAAAATTATGATTGAGGAAAAGGAAATAATAGAGCAAACTCTAGATAGAGTTCATGAATTGGAATTGGTTAACATTCTCGAATAATAGGAAAATGGATTTTATCCATTTGCTCTAAACAAAATATTATTTCTACTCGTAAGAGAAAAATATTATTACATCGATTAACATTTAGCTGCTACAATTATAACTTCGTATAATTTCAATCGTTTGGAATTACATTAACTACGATTTACTTCCATGAGTTTCGAATAACGAGCTACGAATCGAGTTAAAATTTATCCTTAATTTCAATAACATGACATTATCGTAAGAAATAATCCTGACTTCTCGATGATACGCAAAAAGAAGAATACGTAAAAAGAAGAAAAAAAAAAAGAAAAAACGCATTCGTCGATGCAGATTTCACAATAAAGATCGAGAAGACGTCTCTCCCCTCCCTTTTCTCGTTGACGAGTAAACGACAATGGATGGAGCGGGATACGCGACTCCATCGCGCAAATAATAACGAAGAATTTGTTGAAACGGTTCACGGAAGAAAAGAGAGAGGAAGGGAGGGAGGGATCGGCGTGAAAGGGAAGAGGGCATTTTTCGATGCGCGGTCGCTAATGCTTTCTCGCGTCTCCCCCTCTTCTCTCTTTCTCGCTCGCATTGTACTCTGAACGGCGGGCAGAAGACGTTAGCTTGGTTGAAAAAAAAAGAAAAGAAAAAAAAAACGTAGTATTCGAGGTGGAGAGAGGGAAAGAAAAAGAGTGGAAAGAGAGAAACGAGCGGTGACGGAAGACGGTGTTGTTGGTGGCGGTGTGTAGTAGATGGTGAAAGAAACGAATTACAGGATGGGATTGCGGTCGGCTTGAGCGATGAAAAGCCGTCGAAGGAAAAAGGGAGAGAGAGAGAGGGAGAATTGCAGGGGAAAAACGAGCGAGAAGTGAAAGAGAGCAACCTGTGCGAGATTATTCGATGCCGCTCGGTTTGTCGGAATTGTTTCGTTAAAATCTATGACAATTGTGAAATCAGAAAAATCCGAGCGGCTCGATACAATGGACCGGTGGATTTTGATGCAATTCTTTTTTACAGTGTGCTACGTTTCCCGTAAAATTCGTAAAAACGACAGGGATGGAAAATTTATAGAGAACGATACATTCATACGAAAAGAATCGTTCCATACGTATATATAATTATATCGTTTATATAAACTCGTCCCCTTTTAAAAATTCTTCTCGGAAAAATCCCCTCGACGGATAAAAAGAAATCGGAGAAACTCGAATTGTTCCGATAGAATCACGTCCATCCTAATCTCCACAACAAAACAAAACCCACGAAACGGCTATCCCGACAAACGTGCGCCTCGTGTCGAAAGATATTTGCGCTAACGATACGCGTCGAGTCGAGTCGAGTCGAGTAAAACTTTCAAAGATATTGGCCGCCAACGTGTTCGAGTGGGCGGTCCCTCTCCTCCCTTCTCTACAGCAGATTCACTATTATTTACGCTGAAATATTTTTCCACCAAATTCGGGAACCACCCTCTCCCTTCCCTCCAGCGAATTAATTTCATCCGAAAGGGAAGGTTAATTGCGAGCAGGTCGTCTCGCGAACCGAAAACTTATCTCGTGGCCGAATTTCCGCCAACGAACGAACATTGGTTTGAAAATTTTCGGGGGATCGAGTAGGAGAGAGAGAAAGAGAGAGAGAGAGAGAAAGAGAAAAAGAGAGGGGGGGAAAATCCGTGATTCGAAAGAAGAACGGTTGGTTGGTTGGCCGTAACTCTCACGTCATAGGACCCAGCACGCTTTAACCCAGAAAGTCAATGTAGGCGGTCTAAGAATAGAAGCGAGGCAATGTCGGGTAGTCGGTGGTGGAGGCGATATACGGCCGACAGTGCGATTAATCAATCAGTATCGGCGCCAAATCGTCGGACGGTGGCATTAATCAGAGATGAATCGAAGCGGGAGCCAGGTTTCGTCGAAATATCACGGTGAAATGTATCCGCGTGTATCGTTTCGTTGTTTCGACCTCGAATACAATATATAGGATTTATCTTTGCTCGTTTGCAAGTTTATA